ATACCAGCTGCTCTGTCTACTCAGAGAAACGACTTAATTAATCTGTCATAAAGCCAAGGCAATAGGGATTTTCCTCCATCCTCTATCATTCTGAAGATACATACTCAAGAAAGCTGCCATATGAGAGAATTCAGAATGGAAAAAACCACCACCACCACCACCCTGCTCCAACACATAACCCAACCAGAGTTAAGAAGGACCCTGGTTCAGACCTGACTTTGCCTTAGCTCAGGGGCGCCAAGCAAGCTGCTGTCCTGAACTGCAACAATGGCAGTCCCCAGTGCTAGCTACATAGCAGGCTCTCAATGAATATTTGTTATATGACTGGATGCATGAATGCCTACCTTACAGGACTGTTGAGAAATAAGTGTAAAAGTAGGTAAAATGACTATGCACACACATAACACATCAGTCCCTTCTTTGTCCTCTATTTCTCACAGTGTTCATGATCTCTGATAGTTACAAAGCTGCAGACAGATGGCTAAGTTAAAAAAACATATCCACAGGTAGAATGAGATAAAAATACCTCTTAAGAACAAAATTTACATATGCTCATTAATTTTGCCATTACGTTACGGCTTTTGCTTTTCCTCAAGATACTTATTATCTAAACTATCAACAAAATGACATAAATGCAAGAGAACAGAGTCATTTCCAAAACAACTGATATATTACTGAGGAGAACAAGCAGCCTAGTGCCTGGGGGAGCTGGGGGAAATCACCATGGAAAGATAACTGTCCAGGCCGACCTATCAAGTCAGGGAACCAAGTGAAGCATACCAAAATTTCTGAACTTATTTGGTTTGGACAAGACAAGTACTATCTTGAAGTGTCTCAGTCCTTCATTCTTTTTTTGGGCAGGTCCAACATGAAGCCTAATTAACTACAAAGATTTTAAAAGGTAGCTCTGGGGTCAATTTTACACTTTAATAGAATGTAGCACCAAATCATTTCTGTTAAACATTATTGATAAACATTACTGTACTCTGCTTATGGGACTCAACGACCACTTAGAATTTGGAACACACAAATATAATGACCTCAAAGCAGATCCCAGATTCTACTTAAATAAAACCATACCTAATATTCTGCCACTAATTTATTCTTTCCTATTTTCTCTTCTTTCTAGAAATCCCACTGAAGACCAAAATTCCAGTACACCAATCAAAAGTTTAGAATATTTACATTGCAGTAATCAAAATGAGTACAAGATGTTTTTTAAGGATATTCTAAATTAGAAAATATGAATTCTTCTGACTTAGGTTTTTGAAACTAACACACACAGATGAAACAGACAACAATTTTTAAGCACTTAACTCTTCAACTACACATGCACTCTTAAGATAGGGAGAATAGAAAGTAAGCCTCAACTTGCATTCAGGTTGATTTCTTCAAACTAAAAGTCAAGTTCATCAGCCTCATTTCACAGATGTGGCAGAAGCAAAACTGCTGATTAGAACCTACAATATTATGACCTCTCTCTTCCCCTCTTACTGCTAACATGCCCTAAAGATAACCTTACCTTGTCACATCCTATACAATGATAGTGTAAAACTATTTCACAACAGCTATTGTTCAACTTTTCGTGAAGCATGTAATTATAGTGATGAAATAAGTGCTAAGACAGTTTAAAAACACAACAGTATAGAAGCTTGACTCTTCGTTATGGAAAATTAGACACTAGCCATGAATTAGGTATGTAGTCACTAGTTCTAAATTCTAACATTCTAGAATTCTGGGAAGAGTAGTCAAGGTACCTAGTATAGTTTGCCATATTAGGATTATTTTCTTGGCCAGAGTCACAGAGCAGAGAGGTGGACGGGCTATGAGTACAGGGCTGGTGATCAGAAGAGTGACAGCCACATTCTTTTGCATGAGAAGAGTTGCAAAAGCAGCTGCAAATGCTCAGCCATCAACAGCCTGTGTGCTTGTCAGTGGACACCAGGCCCCAGCAGTTTTCTGCTGAATACAGGAAAGTGGTTAAAAGCAGGACTTGCAAGATATTCACACTGAGATACAGTCAGTCTGCAAAACTGGTCTGATCTGAAAATTCTGGGACTTAAAACGGACTATGGGGTGGTGCAGGGAGAAACTATAGTTGTGAGAAAATGTAGGTAACTGTGAAAGAAACACTTGAAAATGTTTATCAGTGCCTATGGCATGACACCTAACCAAAATTACTTTTTATATAATTCTTAACTTTTAAGATTTACTTTTACTATATTTATAATTTTTATATAACATATTGAAAATAAGAGGCAAAGGTTACTGCCATTAGACAAAGTCATTGTTCATAAAGAACTATTTTATTGCTATCAAGCATAAGTCCAACATGTCTTTATGTCACACAGTTCACACATTGATTCAATGTTTAGCAAACCCCTCCAGAGAGAAGCAGGCTCCTGAGGTACGGAGCGAGCTTTCTTTGCTAAGTGAAGCTTAACACGTATTTCAAGTGAAAACAATCTTTGATTTCAGAACTGCTAACTTATTTTTCTGCTGAATTTAAACAACATATTGAGAACTAATTATAAGTTCTCAGCTGCACAGTTGACTTTTTAACTCTTTCAATTTCTGTTAACAGAAAATTCAGTCCTTCAACACCAACGAGCCAGTAAATGGAATACCTCAGAGGACGGCCAGCACCTGGAAACCTGCTGCTGAATAATGAAATGTGCTAGAGGCAAGACAGAATCTCACGGTGGTTTCAGATTCTGGCTGAAAAAGCAGGAAGTGCTTCCTAGTCGAGCGCTTTGCACACATCCAAGCTTCTTTTACAATGAATATGTTAATTAATGCGTTTCATATTCTCAAATTATAACCTAATTTATCATGCCACACTACTGTTTGGTATCCAAAGTCTTACCTCTCAACAACATCTAACCGTTTTCTAGGTTAGAAATTGGAGTCTCTTCACATGATTAAAATCATGTGGATTTCAGGCAGTTGGCAAGCCACAAAATGTTCTTTAGAATGTGATTCACTTACTGAAGCTGAGAAGAGTTACACTGAATTTCTGGCAGGGTTACACTTACTTCCTTCAAATTAGGAGAGGAGGTGAAGAAAGCTACACTGGAAGGTTAAGACAAACAATGGACTTCTGCTAAAAACACTCCTCTTCCTTTTATGCAAAGGCAACTTTCAGTATAAGCAGTAGAAATAAGGAATACATGTTTTGAACTTAAATACTAATAAAGCTTTCATTCCTTCTATGAGGGGAAAATAGCAGGAGCTAAAAATATGTCAGTGAAGTGAAGAAGTGTCATTTGTCCTGGACCATGGTGAACATTTAACACATTATCATTTTCTTACGTTAAGGCTGCTTAAAACAAGACTTCACGTCTTGTTAGATGCTGCCATACATTATGGTACAAATACTCCTGCTCTGTTTCAGAGCATGTAGAGAGCAGAGTTTCGCAGCCTCAGCACTACGGACATGCTGGGCTGGATAATTCGTTGTCGTAAGAGATCGTCTTGTGCATTGTGGGATGTTTAGCAGCCCCAGCCTCTACTCACCAGATGCCCTTTGTACCCTCCTCCCCCTTCAGTTATAACAACCAAAAATGTCTCCAGACATCGCCAAACGTACTTTGGGGGACAAAATCGCCCTTGTTTGAGAACTACTAGCTTAGAGTATAAACCAGCTAAATAGTAAAACAAAACTGAGACTTATTTCCTTATTATTTTCAATGACATTTCAAATAGCCACAATTCCCAAATCCTCAGCCAAATAACTAAAAAGAATTCAATTTCTGTGAATAGCAACAAAGAAGACCTAATCTCAGTTTTATGTATAATTGGAAATGTTTTAACTTCCAATATCTTCACCTCAGCAAGCTAACAAATGTATAGGTCAAGTGTTTTCATTTTTAAAGTTTAGCATTTTTAACTAACTGGTTAATGAAACTGAATCCTCATATCTGCACCCAGGACTGAATCTTTTGTCAAATGAAAAAATCTGTTTCTGCTATTTCCAAAAGATCTACTTCCTGCAAATCTCAGATCTACTCCTGGAAAGGGGAGAGGAAGAAAGAAGCCCCCGCTGTGTCTCCAGCAGAGCTCAGGCCTCTCTGGCCCATCCCCATGTGAATAGCACACAGCACTGTGCTCTGCCACAATGTCCACATCTGAGAGTAAGTCACTGCTGGGAGGGCTTCTTAGAGAACATCCTTCTTCTTCTCTATTCTGGGTCTTTATTCAAAACAATCATCAAAAATAATTCTTCAAAGAACTCCTTTTGCATATTAACTACTGGTTTTGTCCTGTGTGTTTTTGTTTTTAAAAACATGGCTTGTTACTATTTAAGCAATTGGCCTAAATCAAAAGCATTTCATTTGATCGACTTCTCCAAAAGATGTGAGGCCCTATATTATAGACAGAACCGTTATATAAATATAACTACAAATACATTTATATGTTAAATAAAATGGATGCTAACTTTGTCAATATTCTACTTTTTGGCCTTGCAGATACCACTCTGGCACACAGCCTTATAGAGAATGAGGGTTTGGAAGCAAAGATTATTCACATAAACTTTCTATCTTCATTTTTATGTTGCCTGAGAGAATAAGACCCAAATTATCAGGTTTATTCCTCAAGTTTCCATAGTGACAATGCTCGATCCTCCTGGAATGGCTGTCAAACTCTCTTGAGCTTAAGTTTACTTAGATTTAAAGATAGATGTTAAAGTTTTTCAGTCTTTTGAATTTTTGAATAATCATAGTACATTTATCATACTCCAAATTAGATACAGGAAGACAACTTAAAGGCAATCCTATAAAATTGCCTATCATAGTTTAGGTTAATTTTATGCATCCATAGAAAAAGATGCATGTACACATACACATACACACAATTTCCCAAAAGCGCACAAATGCTTGTGCCACCTCTTGTACCTTCCAGGCAGAAGAAACCACAGCAATTATATTCCTGAGAAGAACGGTGCCTAGAAATTACTAATTATAAGCAGCTTTTCAGATATGAAGATAACAGATACATACCATCAAAACTACCTTGCTCAGAAGCAAGATGCAACAGCTGATTATATGTTTCAACTGAAGGCTGATAAACGAAAACTCCAGAATTAAAGCAGTCAGGCCACCCTGGGTCTGGTGCTGCTGACAATTCTTCTCTCTCAAAAAGATCATCAATATTTGCTAGGACCTGATCAAAGGGGAGACAGAGCATTAGAGAGATGTTTTTGCTGAGCATACCCTTCTTAAGTTCTCCCTATGTCATTCAACACAAAAGATGATGACAGCTGTAAGGCAGCCTGGGCCTCCTCTCCTCCTTCCCCTGACACATTTCATGACAGTGGTTCTATCTGAACTTTACTGTCAAGTCTTGACAGCATTCCTCAAATGCCTAACAGGTCTCCATTACCATATATGTCTTCTCTACCCTCAAAGCCACACTCACCAGAGTATCTGCATCCATGAATACACATTTTGAATACTGTGTAAGTGACCAGCAGTGGAGCTTTGTCAGCGTGACACCCAACTCTGGTCTCTTCATTAAGGTTAGATGAGCAGAATCACCACTGTCCAAGACATCTACCATGATGACTTCATCAAAGACTGTCTCTAAAACTTTTCTGTCAAAATAAAATCCAGAAAAGGGCACTTAGAATCTTTTCAGAAAAAGTGACCCATCTAGTGTAAAGACTGATGCTTTATTACCCTCTCCATGAATTACTAGAAAAATGTATTGCTTTGGTAGAATATGTACCCTTAAATCTGCTCTAATTTTACTCCAGGACAAATTGTGTTTATTTGCATGTCCAGTTAACTTCACTAAAGTAGTAAGAACTGCTTATGGTAAGGATGAAATGCTTGTCTTAAAACATTATTATAGAAGCAATTGTTCTTTACTATATCACTGAATAGCAGGCAGGTTGTGGCAAGAGCTTGCAAAAATGTGTAAAGGGCTCCATTTATTAGGTTGCCATTTTATAGAATCCAATATAGCCAGCATTTATTATATGCTGAGCACTCTGTTTAAGTATAATGAGAGATTCACTTTGGTTTGTGAGGTACAACACTTCTCTATGCCCCAATTAAGTAAGGCTTTATTTTAGAAAGTTCTTGAAGGTGGATTAGTAGGGTAGACTTGGGTAAGACACTAAATCTAGCACAAGAAAAAACACAGGATGAAAACGTATCATCATTGAAAGTTTAGCATAACATCAAAGATGCTGAACAAAACTGATACTGTATTGTCTCCAAAGCTGTACAAAAATATGTTCCAGTTCACACAGTAAACTTGATGTTTTTGAGGAGAAATAGTTAGGAGCATCACTGACCCAAGTAAATTGATGGTGGTGATGAGAAATGCAAAATGCAAGACTAGATCTGGTTTTTTTGGCATATCCTAACAGACTACAAATTAGGGTACACACATTAGGAGACAGGCTTTTTGGCATCTTCCTAAATTACCATTTAGGAACAAGGTTGTTAGTGTGAAAGATACATGTATGTATACATAATGCCTACTTTTTAGAGACCCTTGGCCTGTGCTTATATTTTTTGGAAAAAAAGGGTCACAGTAGGGCATCTTCAATTTCTTAGAGGGCAAGAAGACCACAAAAATAAACACATCACAAAGCTGCTAGTGTACCCAGATATTTTTAAAGTTAGTACTAGGGACTAGGTAGCTCATTCAGATACTTCAATTTTTTTCTCTCCCTTTTTTTTTTTTTTTTTTTTCCGAGACTGAGTCTTGCTCTGTTGCCCACTGGTGAGCCACTGCGTCCAGCCCAGATTCCATCAGATCAAAGTGAACTAACCAATCATGAAGCAGTTTATACCCTTTAGTGTGGTTCCCTTAGTAAAACCTAGTTCAGAAAGCCCTTTGGTAAAGATTCTAGTATATTATATTGTAAATAAAGATCTTTAGGTTACAAATGCCAACTGGCAATGGAGAAAATAGCTACTTTTCTAAGTCACCTGAGAGTTACCCTAGTTTGCAACATGAAACAATGCATCCCCTGCTGCATCTGGGGAAAGGAATGTCCATGAATTGTGACTGCATAAAGGTGCATATAAGCAAGGAATGCCTGGCACAGTCCTTCAGATCACCCAGGGAGGATGGAGTGAAGGAAGATGACTCCTTCCACTCCTAGTTGGAATCAGAAGTGTGGGCCAGCACACCACCTTCCAGAAAAGTATTTAGTTGGAGTATCTCCCAAAAGCTAGGAAGAAGTTTCAAATCCAGAAATCTTTCACTCAGCATCTCTCATTTTTCTCTACCCGGTGCTCAACTCCTGAAAAGAGCATGACCTCAATGTGGTGATGCCAGAAACAGGGAGAAGGATGTCAGAGCCCCTGTGGATGGTGGTGGGGCAACAAGGTCCTCACCTCATGGAGTCTGAGACCTGTGGGGTGGTGAGCACGACCAGCTTCCTGGTGGTCCTGTGCTGTTTCAGAGATGAGCCCAAGACCAGGGCACCTTTGGCGTAGGCATCGTTTGTGGTCAGTGTCACAAAGGCCTGATCTTAATACAAAGAAAAAAAAACACTCATTACAATATGTTATCTGGAGAAAGTCTCTTCCCCAGGAACCCATTCAAACAGTAATTTAGCAAAACTAGCTCCTCTAACATCAACTTTTTCTACGAATAAAGCAGTAGCCTCTTTGGGGAGAAAACCCCAAGTACCCACTTCAAGAATGGTTCAAGATCATAGCAGGCACATATGGCAACCTTCAAGAGGTTGATTAAGCTATTGAAATTAAATCCAGTTTAGAGTCCTGACATGCTAAATTCTCAGACAAAACAATAGGTTAATACCCAGAGTTTGAACTCCAGGCAATTAACAGATGGTAATGAAGAGATCAAGTCATGAATTTTCTGTTTCTTCCACAAGGTACTGTAGACAGTGTTTTCAGCCAAGCACAAAACCAACTGTCAAATTCAATTCAGACAGTCTGAAAGCAGATTGTACATTCTTCATTCTGGTGCGTATGTTTATGCCATGCCTCAGGCATTTAATTTATTTATTTATTCATTTATTTTTTGAGACAGGGTCTCACTCTGACACCCCGGCTGGAGTGCAGCGGTGTGATCATTGCTCACTGCAGCCCCGGACTCCAGGCATCTTATACGTAACTGTTTCCACAACCTAGAGCAGAAGCTCCCCTGCCCCAGTATCCCTGAAGAATCACATTGACTCTCCCCTCAAATATCAGCACCTCAGAGAGGTCTTCCCTCCCTGATGCTTCTATCTAAATAGTGATCAATCACTGATAGAGTTGGAGATCACCTAAGAATTCCTAACCAACCTGCCTGCTTTTCTTTGGAGAAGAAAGAAGGTGCAGGTCCACCTTGCACCCTTTGCTTTCCCGCCTCCACCCAACAGACACACATCCCAATCTCCAATAATCACTTAGTTGCCACGTGGATTTTTCTTCCTACTGAACAGCCCCCACCCTCCTAAGACTCCTAGGACAAGCTTCAAGATTCTTGTCATTCCCTGGGACAATTCTGGGCCACGTTCCGTCTTCAAGAAACATTAGCAAGTTGGTGGACACGCAAATGCCTAGGACACTTCAGATCAAGCTCTGGTAGGAGTCATTTGCCTACCAGGGAGTTGGGACATTTTGTCATGAAGTCCTTCTCTTTCTGTCCTGGATTTCCTCACTCTCCCTTGCCCGTTTTCCAAGGTGGAGGCTAGAAACGGTGGAAATTCCACTGAGAAGAGGAGGTTGTGGGTTGCCTAGTGGGCCAATGCATCCCCCGGCTGCTGACTTGACAACCACCTTCACACATTTTATTGGGCCCTCTTCCCAGGCCAAGCCAACCACTAAGTTGTAGGAAGACCAGTTTCCCAACCCACGGAGGGCCACTGGCTTCCCAGTCATTCACACTCTAGGAAAGCTCTGAACAATGGTGACAGCTGTCCCTTGACAGGCCCATCAACATCTGCCTGTACTTGCTTCTATTATCTTCAGCCCATTATAATATCTTATGATGGGTAACACTGCAGTCAATCTGCACCAAAGATACTTAAACTGGGCAAAACGAATGATCATTTAACTCAAAGGAAGTCCAGGTTCCAGGAGATCATGGAGAAAAATGCAACAAGGAGAGCAGGATTCAAGGATTTTAGGAAGCAAGGATATGGATGATTTCCAAGATTAAATAAGGGACAGAACAAATGCTTAGCACACAGGTTAGAACAACAGACTAGACAACATTACAAATGACCAAGAAAGACCAATGACAGCTGGGCAGGAGTTTAATCTTCCTAAAGACGGCTGAACTCTGGGTTACACCTGCAATCTTTGCGGCAGTTCAATTGCAGTAATAACCCTGGCTATTTAGCGTCAATGACACGGAAGAACCAGCTAACTCGGAGCTTCCCAGTGCTGGGGCTGACTCGTGGAGTGGCCCCGACGCCTCGCAACAAGTGAAGCCAAAGCTTGCGCCCTCCCACCTGACGGGGCCCGCACCCGGAGACGCTAGTCCGACTCCCGGCTTCCCGCAACCCGGCCCCAAAGGCCTAAAAATAGGCTCGGCGTGGCGGCCGGGGCCGGGGCCGGGGCGGGCAGCCGAGGAGCCGGGCAGAGGCCGCGGTATCCCCGCCTTGGGGGCCCCGCTTCCCGGGGTTCCGAGCCGCCAGAGGCCAGGGTGGCTCCCTACGATGCGGCTGCGCCCCGGGACTCCCGCCTGGAGCCCCCAGGGGAACCGGCTCCCTACCCCCACACCGCCCCGCCGCAGCTGCTCTGCCCGCCGGCCCTTTGCCGTGAGAGCAGGAGGAAGGGCGAGGAGACGGAAGCGAGGGCTTCGGCCGAGGGCCCCAGCTCCGCCCGGCTGCCCCCATCGCTGCACCCCTGCGGGCGGCGGGGCGGCTGCTGACGCAGGCAGAAGCATAGCCGACTGCAGCCAGCCAGCAACTTTGCGGCGGTCTCTTCCAGCCGGGAACACCCCGGGGCGGAGGGCGGAGGAGAAGGGAGGCGGCGGCTGGGCGGGGAGCCGGGGTCCCGGAGCTGGCGGCGGCGCGCTGCGCGGCGGTACCTGTCATGGTGCTGCCGGGGGCGCAGGCGGCCGGGGCAGCCGCAGGTTGGTGGCTCAGAGAAGCCGGCGCCGGGAAGGAGCGCGGCCAGCGAGAAGGCACCGCGGGAGCCCAGCGTCTGCCCCGTGCGCTCTTATAGCGGCCGTCACGTGGCCGCGCACGCTCTCGCTGCCGTCCGCATCCTCCCAGCTGCGCGGCCGACGGGGGCGGTGGCCCGCGGGGTGCGACACCCAAGTTCCCCTCGGCCCCTCCTCCCTCCCTCGAGGCTAGGCTGCAGCTGCGGCTCACCGGCGACCAGGGTCCTGCTTCTCCGAGGCTCCTGACCTCAACCGCGCGACCCCCTGTCCCCGCTAAGCCTGGGAGTTTAAGAGGGACTTTGGGGAGGAGTGTGGCATGAAACTCCCCAAGAAGCCAAGGGTTAGGGAACCTTAAAAAATAAGCAAATAAACGCTCTTGTTAAAATCATGCGTCTGAACTGCTTGAATGAAAAATAAAGTTTAATTACGCCTTTTCAGAATTTCCGTCGGCCTTTATAATCATTCTTTAGTATACTCACAATGGTTTTGTAGCTTTAACCTAAAAAATATGGGCCGGGCGCGGTGGCTCAAGCCTGTAATCCCAGCACTTTGGGAGGCCGAGGCGGGTGGATCACGAGGTCAAGAGATCGAGACCATCCTGGTCAACATGGTGAAACCCCGTCTCTACTAAAGTACAAAAAATTAGCTGGGCATAGTGGCGCGTGCCTGTAATCCCAGCTACTCAGGAGGCTGAGGCAGGAGAATTGCCTGAACCCAGGAGGCGGAGGTTGCGGTGAGCCGAGATCGCGCCATTGCACTCCAGCCTGGGTAACAAGAGTGAAACTCTGTCTCAAAAAAAAAAAAAAAATATGGTGACTCTTGTAAATGCTATTTAAATTCTTGCAGCCATGTGCATCAATTAGGCGTGTAAGTGCTTCATTTAATTATTGTACCAACTCAGTGAGGTGTTAATATACTCATTTTACAGAAAAGTTAAATTACTTTTCTTCTTCTTTTTTTTTTTTTTTTGTAGAGACAGAGTTTCACCATGTTGGCCAGGCTGGTCTCGAACTCCTGGCCTCAAGTGATCTGCCACCCTCGGCCTCCCAAAGTGCTAACTTTTCTATAGTCATATAAGTGGAGAAAGTATGATTTAAACCCTGGCAGTTTGTTTACAGAATCAACCTTCCCACTCAGAAAGTCTTGGTGCCTGTTGTACACAGGGGCTCCAAAAAGGTTAGTAAATTATGGTAACTGTGGTTAGGTAATGTTTTGGTTAACCTGTTTCACAAGTCTTGAAATGGTCCGTTTGTCATTTTTCTAGGAAGTTGAGAAATAACTTTAATGTGATCACATCCTTCTCTGCTCCCTATCCCCAGCCCAAACACAGCACAAGCCTTAGGTAGTTCAGTTCTCTGCAAACAATAATTTCTCGGTAAATGCTGAGTGAATACTGCAAAGCCATTTGGAAACCAATCAGGAAGTTGACATCAGTTCAAAAAGCAAAATAGATGCTTAAGAATAAGTGATTTATTTGCAAAGGTGGTACTGCTGTCCTCAAACCAATTTTATATCACTGTTTCCTCATTGTGTGGGCCTGGATCGCCTACATCAGAATCACTTGGGGGCACTAGTTAAAGCGTAGATTTGGGGGCCTAAAGCCCAGATTTTGGGGCCCAAACCCAGACCTCCTGAATCAAAATCTTAAGGGTACGTTTATTTTGGTGTAAAATAATTTTGGAATCCATGCATATTTTTTTCATAATAAGTATTTTCTATGGACTTTTGAAGTCACTTCATATACGCTTGATGTAATGAAATATTTTGTAAGCATAATCATTATATATATTTAATATACAAAGCTGTTCAGGCCGGCGTGGTGGCTCACGCCTGTAATCCAAGCACTTTAGAGGCCAAGATGGGCGGATCACCTGAGGTCAGGAGTTCAAGACAAGCCTGACCAACATGGTGCAACCCCGTCTTAGTGAAAAAAAAAAAAATTTTAATTAAATAAATTAATTTTTAAAAAAAGCTGTTCAAAATATATTATTTGAAGAAAAACGGGTTACAAAACAAACAGAAAGAATCTTAAGGGTAGAACCCTAAAATCAGTATTTTAAATATTACTTTCCAGGAGCCTCTCTTTTCTAGTCTCTGCACGCCTACCATGGCCTGGAGACCACTGATGCACGTGGGAGGTCCTCCCAGTTTCTTGGCATTATGTACTTCCTTTGCAGGAGACAGAAAAGTGGAAGGGGCAATAGATGGGCTTCCACTTATTCAAAAAAAATAGAAGAGTTGGAGCTCTTTAAGGAATACAAAGGCTATATTTTTGTGTCTAAGTGGGGAGTAGGAAAACAGACAGAGGTGCTTCTCAGCCTGATTGCTCTTTTTCAGACTGAGGTGAACTTGGAAGAGATTTCCATCTTTCACCCTGGAACCCTCCTGCCATCAGTGACCCTTAACCATCTACTGCTTGCAGCCCAACTATCTCAGGCTGGACTTAGCCAGAGATGTGGTGATGGGGCTGAATGGGCAAAGCCAGGAGGTAGAACTGGGGACAACTGGAAAAACGAAAAAGCTTCCCTTAGGAACAAACTCCTCTCCACCGCAACTCCCAAGACATTTAAGTAAAAGGAACAGTGACCACAGCCTCCCTTCCCAACTTTCATGTATATTTACACAAACAGAAAATTTACAGCTTTTACCACTTGGAATCAAATAGGGACATTTTGAGATTGCTACAATCTGTTCTTATGCATCATCTTAATATAGCTAATAATGACTCCACTGCCTACTTTTCCTGAGGCTGCCCTGCATTGAGCTTCCGTTTGGTGTGAGAGCAAGGCCTCTCAAACTTTAATGTGCACACAGATGCCCAAGGATCTTTTTAAAATGCAGATTCTGGTTCAGTAGTTTGGGGGTGGATCTCTCACGTGATCCGCAGGCCGTGGACCCACTTTGAATAGTGAGGTGCTCAAACATTTCAGAGTGTAAGGCCTTAGAGGCAGTGGATAAACATTGTATAGTGAGGCAAATGTTTCAGACTTTACCTTGTTAATATTTTTCCTGTGAAACTTGAACTAGTAATTTACTGAATCCTAAAAGAAAGATTTAAGTTAAAAAAGATAAGTTATAATCTACATCAGTATACATGACTATTAACCATTTAGACCTATGCTGAATTCATATATTCAGAATGGTTAGTCCAAAATTCATTTTAAATTGGCTTTGGAATGCATTATGTAATTTTTTGGCAGGATACTTACCTTCCTAATTATGTTTTGTTTAAGATAATGCTGAAATCAGTTTGCATTCTTTTGAGCACACACACTAATTGATGGTGGGGGCAACTGACCTGGAAATATATTCCAGAGCAGAGGGCAATCTACTTGCCTGAGAATCAAACAGTTCCCATGGACAGTACATGAAATACATATACCACATCTGGCCAGACACAGGAACTAACTAGTCAACTAACTTAAAATTTTGCCCTTAATTGATAACACACATAATCTATACCTGGAATTGTTGTCGGTAATCACAATCTTATCTAATCAAATCAAAAGCTTAGTTTTAAGAAATATCCTTGGAGGCCCAAAGTAGTCCATTCTTCACTTGAAAGCTGAAGTCCTAAACTCCAAAAGTTGCAGGCCTAATGACTAGTTACATAGCTTTTTAAAAAAATCCTTATTGTGATATACCTCACATTTTATAAAATAAAGTGTATAACTAAATGGTTTTTAGTGTATTCAGAGTTGTACAACGATCACCACAATCTAAGTTTGGAACATTTTCATCACCCCCAAAAGAAATCTGTACCCATTAGCAGTCATTCCTTATTCTCTTCTTCCTTACCTCAATCCTGGGCAACTACTAATCTACTTTCTGTCTATACATTTGTCTATTGAGATTTGCCTATATGTAGTCTTGTGTAACTGTTTTCTTTCATTTAGCATAATGTTTTCAAGGTTCTTCCATGTTGTGAAACGTATCAATATTTCATTTCTTGGCTGGGCACAGTGGCTCACGTCTATAATCGCAGCACTTTGAAGGGCCGAGGCAGGTGGATCACCTGAGGACAGGAGTTCAAGACCAGCCTTGTCGACATGGTGAAACACCATCTCTATTAAAAATACAAAAATTAGCTGGGCATGGTGGCATGCGCCTGTAATCCCAGCTTCTCAGGAGGCTGAGGCAGGAGAATAGCTTGAACCTGGGAGGCGGAGGTTGTAGTGAAGTAGGATCTCGCCATTGCACTCCAGCCTGGGCAACAGAGCAAGACTCCGTTTGGGGTTTTTTTGCTTTTTTTTTTTTTTTTTTTTTTGATGGGGGTTTTTTTGTTTCCCCGGCTGGTGGGCAGTGGTGTGATCTCGGCTCACTGCAACCTCCACCTCCTGGGTTCTTGCAGTTCTCCTGCCTCAGCCTCCCAAGTAGCTGGGACTACAGGCGCACACCACCACACCCAGCTTATTTTCTGTATATTAATAGAGATGGGGTTTCACCTTGTTGCCCAGGCTTGTCTCAAATCCTGAGCTCAGGCAATCCACCCACCTCAGCCTCTCAAAGTGCTAGGATTACAGGCGTGAGCCACCGCGCCCGGCCAAAGAATGTATTTCATTTTTATTGTCAAATAATATTTCATTATAGGTATGCCACATTTTGTTTATCCATTCATTATGGATGAACATGTTGCTGGACTTTTGGGTAGTTTCCATTCTGGCTGGTATGAATAATGCTGCTATGAACATTTGTGTCCAAATTTTTGCATTGGCATATGTTTTCCTTTCTCCTAGATATATACAAAGAGTAGAATTGCTAGATCATATGGTAATTCTATCTTTAACATTTCAGGAACTGCCAGACTGTTTTCCAGAATGTCTGTATCATTTTTTTTCCACCAGCAATGTATGATGGTTCAAATCTCTTCATTTCTTAGCCAACATTTGTTATTGTCTGAAGTGATATCTCATTGTGATTCTTATTTGCATTTCTCTAGTGACTTTTGATATTGAGCATCTTTTCATGTGCTTACTAACCATTTGTACAACTTCTTTGGGGAAATGTCTATTCAAACCTGTTGCTCACTTTTTAATTGCATTTACTTTGTTATTGAGTTGTAAAATGTGTTTGTTCGTCTAGATGCAAATCTTTTATCAGCTATATGATTTGCAAATGTATTCTCTCATTCTGTGAGTTAACTCTTTATGTTCTTGGTAGTATTGTTTATCAAAGTTTTAAATTTTGATATAGTCCAATTTATTTTTCTTTCATTGCT